CCCGGGCTTTAAGATCAGGAGAAAAACAGCAGAACCTGCTCTACGGCAACCTGTCCAAGACAACCACTTGTACAAGAGACCACCCCGCTTCTTACGTTTTTTCCCAAGATTATAATGACATTGCCCAAAACATCCATCCGTCGACCATAACCACTTTTTTTTGGACAAAGGTTAGCCCTTGAGGACAATTTTGACTGTACACGTGACGTTATTTATTTTGTCTTGTATTGTGGCTGGTTGTTCGTCTAAATCTCAACACAAACATTTGTACATGTGACTTTTCCTATTCTAACGTAGCCATCGCTACTTGTTCGTACAACTCCTGACACAACCTTTGTACATGTGACTTCCTATTTTGAGTAGCCATTGCTACTTTATTCGCTAACCCCCAGCACAACCCTTCATATATGTTACGTTTAATGTTAGATTTAGATATCCTAATTCCTCTTCAGAATGTGGTCCGCGTCGCTGCGCGCGCTACACTTCGATGTAGATGGCGAATGTTGTCTCCAGCAGGCCGTGGTCCACCATCTTCCCATCTTGGTGAAACACCTGGCCCCACGCCGTGCACTTCACGTGGGTTATCCGCAGATCCAGCAGGCTGGTGAACTGAACCATGACCGCCGGCTTGAGAAACTCCCTGGTGAGGTCGCGCTTCCTGTAGAAAAAGCTGGGGAATGCGTCCTCAGGGCTGTAGAGAATGTGCTTCTTCTTCCTGCCCACTGGAGTGATGCTGCTGAACATTTTACGGTCGTCTTTGGTCTGCAAACCAGAATGTGGGTTCTAGTTTAAGTACGAGTTATACAGCACTTGCAACACACATAGGCCATAGAAGTGCAAAAGATTAGCAGACTTATTTATAGAGTAACATACAAAAACGGAGGAGAGATAAGGATGATAGATGTGTGATAGAAAAGCTGGAGCAAACCACACCAGAGCACCCGCCAAGCGCCCACCAGTAAAAAGAAGAAGGTCAAAACACAACCAGTTCGGGAAGACATACATCAAAAGTGCTATGTTCAAATCATGTAACTAGAAAGCCTGTAAAACTAGTTTAACTATGTATGCCCTTCTGATGACCATTCATGTATGCGTCTGTGTATGTATATAAGTGTGTGCGCGCACTCATAAGACCTTATGCAGTTGCGAGCGCCGTAAAACTCTTAACAAAAAATATATATATATAAGTGTGTGTGCATCCGTGTGTGTGTGAGTGAGTGTGTTGATGTGTGCATGTAGGAATTTATCATGCTGCATCAAAGTTCTCTTAGCGGATATCAATAAAATGCTGTCTTAGTTTATCTTATCGTCTTATCGTGTTCAGAAAAGCAAAACGCGTGTCAAAACAAGATGAGCACCAACTTACCGCTCCCTCACAGGAGAACGGGACGACAGACGGGTCCCCCTCGTGCTTCTGCACCGCAGCGTTTGTCTGAGCCACCTCCCACAGCGGAGAGTTCTCGTTGATTGGACTGATGGTCATGTCTGCCGGCTGTAACCAGAAGAAAAAAAGAAATCACACCTCTTGTGTCTCTCACCATGAACATTTTCTCTCTCTTGATATCTCAGTCGAGTTGACTGATAATCTCGCATAGTAGTGTTAATGTACGCTTATTTAACCCCAAAAAATCCCAACAACCATTCCTAAAATTAAAATTTGAAGAAAAAAAAAAAACTTTGAAAATAATTTTTCATCTCTTTACGTGCGCAATTATTTTATCTCATGTAATGCAATGGCCAGACTGGCGGCACAATGTGTGGTCAACGCATTGGAAAAATTACAACCAAAGCTGTCGTGTGTTGAGAGACGTGTTCAACTCTTTGCCCCCCCCCCCCCCCACCAACACCCAACCCCCACCGGGGATGTCGATTGCTGACGGTGAGAGGCCACCCTTTTTTCCCACGGGTCACCCATCGACAACAGTGCGATATATGACAACAAGAACATAGTAGCAATGATCTCCTTTTCGACGTGCGCACTTGTTAAAAGTTTTAGTTTTTCTTAATGAACGGTTCGTGTAGCTGATTCAAAAATCAGTTTGTTTACAATTGAAGTGAATTTTTAAAATTAAATATTGAGCAGACTTAGCAGGAGTGCTGCCTAACACTGACACTATGACAAAAGATTCGGGTGACGAATGTGCTAGATCTAACGGTTTTAGTTCCAATTTTAATTTTTTTTTTTTTTTGGTGAACATGGTGATCGTTCCGTTTAATTTTATCAACAAGCTGAAAATTTCCTACTGATTGGGGTATCTTTGCAGAGATGCAGGTACAGTAGCGATGTGTTCGGCACCTATATGACCTTATTGTGTTGCAAGTGCCGTAAAACTCTTACTAAAACTAAAAAGTAGCGATGTAGCCCATTTACATCCTAAAGCGGGGGGGGGGATGTACTTTGTGTGCTCTGGGCGCTGGGTGGGTGGAAAGTGTTAAACAGCACCGAGAAAAGGATGGCTGCTGCCGCTTTAAGTATATACAGTATAACACAGACAGGTCGAGCACAGGAGACTCGAAATCACGCATCCATCGAACTGTGCCAGCGGACCCGTTTTTCTCTTCTCTTCTTTATCTTTGTAAGATATCCCTCGAACTACAGATCCCTCGAACTACAGATCCCTCGAACTACAGATCCCTCGAACTACCGAGGCGGGTCCCGATGAATTCAAGCTATCCGTGTTCTATACAGTAATTCCGGTGAGACGACTGACCAGGTCCAGCTGTACGAGGACACAGGGCAGGTTGACAGCGTAGCCGTAGTCGCGGCTCCTCGTGCACTCCTGGCCAAACTTGAGCAGCGGAAACATGCACGTCTTGTTGTAGGGGCTGACCTTGTGCGTGCACGTCGTGAAGTCCATATCCTGCTGGTGGGCGTGGCTGTACGCTGTGGAAGAAACAAAAAAGAGTCACAGAGATGCCAACCACAGAAAACCGAAATGAGTATTGGGAAATATGAAAATGTGTATTTTCAGGGAAAAATGTGTATTCTCCACGACCGACTGACCGACCAACTAGTAAAATGTTCAGGGTGTGAGGCAATATTTCCTGAAAAAAACATTACTAGCTCACCAGCTCGAAAAAGGGAGCACATACGCTTACAATATACATGTATCCAGTCAACAACATGTCAGTGTTCAGTGTCGTACTGGGGTCTTGTTTGACTTAAGTATTTCAGTCTATTATATAATATTTTCCTCTCATTATTATATAAAAAATAAATCCTGCTTTGAGAGTTCGTAAGGGCCTAGAACAAGAATTTCGACTACTGTATCAAGAACCAGTGTGGGTGACAGACTCAAATTATTGCTCAAACTCAGAGAAAAGCAATAACTTGAATGGCTCAAGTAGACCCATGCACTGTGAGAGTTGTAACAACTGTGGGAGGGCAAGATGCAGTGACACTGAAAATAAGCCAGTCTTGAACAGAAAGCTACAATATACACTGTAGGTATAATTTACTAGATCTATCATCACTCATCCAAGTAGGTATAATTACTTTCACCCATCCAATGAAACGCGAACACTTTATTTCAATAACACAGACTTGCAAAGTATGACGCTTTTTCGGTAGTTCC